CAGCAGTTCAAACCCACCAGCTTCTCCTCAGAAACTCTGTACAGGGTCGTTATGAGTTAGAATCAACTCAGTGGCACTTAGCAACAGCAACAATATTAAACTCTTTCTAAAAAGATCTGGAATCATTACTGAAAATAGAGGAAAACTTACTTTGAATGAAATAGTCTTGGTGGTGCTATGAGTTAAGCATAGTACTGATAACCACAAGGTAGGTTCAAACCCACCAGTTAGTCCATGGGAGAAAGACGAGGCCGTCTGCTCCTGTAAAGATTTACAGTCTCCGAAGCCCTAGGAACAGTTCTGCTCTGTCCTATAGGCTGCTACGAGTCAGGATTGACTTGGTGGCAATAGGCTTGCTTTTATCTTGAATTAAAAATAGAAAGGTTGATTCACCCAACCTCACCTGCATGCCATTATCTGAGTCTATTCTGGTATCCTACTGTATAATGAATATATACCATCATTTTTACTTAGAAAATGCAATCAGATCAATTGCAACTGTCTTTTTAGGGTCAAACAGCCCCTCTCTCTTGGCACGTTCGAATCGGTATATTAATTGGAACATCCAAAGCCATTCAATACCTGCACAGCACTGAACCGTGCTCAGTCATCTGTGGCAGTATCTCAAGGTAAATTACCCCAGAGCCCCCTTCATTGTCACAGGTAAGTTCGACTTTACACCATCCTCTGTAGTTTTCCTGATATGTATGTATGCGCATTTAGAACTCTCTTCTAAGTATTTAACATCTTACAGTTTTGTTCATGAAAATGTGTTTGCCAAAGGGAGCATTTAGGTTATCTTTGCAAATTATTAATAACAATGTCTAATAAACTATGATGTGTATTTTATTAATTATGCCTGATAGCAAACACATATTAATCTCATTTTTTTAAACTGAGGCTTAAATGACATATGGGAATTCCTGGTGTGATGCTGTAGGAGAAGCATCTAAACTACTAACCTCAGTTTGGTGGATCAAGTCTACCAGCTGCTTTTTTGGAAACGCTATCCAGGATCACTATGAGTTGGAACCAACTGGACAGTACTTAACAGCAACAAACAACATGATAGCAGTGAACAACTAAGACAAAGTTGGGTGGCACAAGTGGTTAAATTCTCAGCTGATAACCAAAAGGCTGGAAGTTCTAGGATATTTAGAGGCACCCCAGTAGTAAGACCTGGCAATGTACTTTTGAAAAATCAGTTGGTACTTTTGAAAACCGTGTGGAACATAGTTTGTTGTTAAAACACATGGGGTCACCATGAGTTGGGATCAACTCAACAGCAATGGGTTTTTTGGTTTTTTTCAACAGCAATTAGAATTCTTAGTCCCTTGCCTCTCCAATGTCTTGCAGAACCTACTGAGCCTGCTACCACGAAACTGTACATATTAATCTGTTACAAGCTGAGCTATACTCGTGTTTATTTTTGAGACATGAGACTATTAGAAGCGAAGTGTGTCTTTTTCTTCTCCAATAGACATAAAGAATCCTTCAGATAGAGAGTAGATATCCTGTAGCAAAGCCCCACCTAGTAAATTTGTTCTATGTGCCGCTCTTTCTTGACTCTGTTCAAAAGTAGGTAAATGCGTCTTTGATGAATAGCAGGGAAGAGTGAATTTTAAAGGCTGCTGTCTTTTCTGAAAAGGGCTTTTCATGTATATCTTGTATTAAGTGTATTTTCATGTATCTCATATCTTGAAAAAGGCTTTTCATGTGCTTTTGATTTGAGCAGAAGAGAGCTGATTGTTTGTTTTTCTGGTGAAATTAATGCCGTAGAAAGACTCCGTATTTCCACTTAATCCTGAGAGACAGAAGGGACTACTCATAGCTATCTGTTCCTGTTGCAATGTGGCAATTCATCAACTGCTCGTGGCTCCACAGTATCAACACAGAACTGATGTACCCTCATGGGACCTGGGCATCATGGGACAGTGAAGATCTCAGGGCTTGGTGGTGTAGCTCATGAGGTCCCAAAGGCTGATAGCTAGCCCTAAGCTGACACAACTCCTTTACATGCAGCTTGCATAATATCTAGAATTTTGGTGTGCATATTTGTGAGGGATTGCATTGTTTCCCTCATATGTCCCTCATACTGGGGAAGGAGGAACACTGGGGCTATAGAAGCTGAGGAAAGTACTTCAGAGAGAGAGCCTTTCTTTGCAGTTATTGCCCTGAATTTGGACTTCTAGCCTCTTAAAGATGGTGTCCTGGTGTGGTATTATAGGATAAGCACTGAACTGTTAACCCACCAGCTGCTCCCTGAGAACCCTATATAGGGTCGTTATGAGTCAGAACTGACTCGACAACACTTAGCAGCACCAGCTTTCTACAGGAAGTACAATGGCTCTGTACGATAAACACTGGACCACAAACCACCGAGTTGGTGGTTCAAGTATACCAGATTCTCTACAGGAGAAAGTTGGGGCTTTCTGCTCCTGCAAAAATTTACTGTCTTGGAAACCCTATACAGACTCACTATGAATCAGAACCAACTCAATGGCACTTAACAACAACAACAAGTTTCCGAAACGGCGAGAAACACATTTCTGTTCTTTAATACCACCCACTCCACTTGCAGTATTTCTGTTAATTTTACAGCCGCACTAGGAAACTTAGGCAATATTCTTCGTGTGGTTTAAACGCTAAAATAAAAGCATTGAATTATTTGAAATCCCAAACAGTACTGCATTTATTTAGTAATTTTCCTTCTGTGTGAAGGAAGCCCTTTCCTAACAGTAGAATTTATGGGGGAGGACAGGGGGAGAATGGGGTTCTGTTACTCAAAGAGTGAGGGAAAGATGGGGAAGGATAGGGAAGGTCCCCAGCTGGAGTGTCATGTGGAGAAAGGCACAATACAGGCTCTGCCCACATGACAATTGTTCTTCGTGGCCACCATTGGATGATGCCATTCAGATGTGACACTCTAGCATATCTCTTCTTATGTTACTTAAGACACAGACTGTGGGCCCTGATTTCACCCTAGTCACTCTTTTTTTTAAAGTTTTTATTGTGAATTGAGTGATAGTTTATATGGGAGAACATCAGCTTTACATTCATCCTATTGTATTTCGTTTCATTGCAATGATTACAATCCCATCCATGCATCCTCAAATAACCAAAGGGTACACCCTATTCACTCTTGGTTCATATCTTTGTTGTCATTGTTGTTGAGTGCTGTTGAGTTGGTTCCAACTCATAGTGTTTCTGTTTCTGAGGAGCAGCAGGTGGGTTTGAACTGCTGACCTTGTGGTTCATAGTCCAATGCTGATCCTACAGCGTCACACCAGGAGTCCTGGTTAGTATCTTGTTATTGTTGTGCCATCAAGTGGGTTCCTGCTCATAACAACCCTGTATAGGGTTTCCGAGGAGCTGCTGGTGGGTTTGAGTCTCCACCTTGTGGATCAAACTGACCTTGTGTTCCAGTGCTTTGGCAGATGCTATGTATAATCATCCTCCACTTTGTGATCTTGGTAGCCTCTTGTTCGAAAGAAGGGTTTCCTTAAATGTATGGCCTGTATCCAATATATATGAATGTCTGGCAGAACTCACTCTCTCTCAATCTGGTATCTAACTGATCATATTCTAAACTCCGATTCATGGGATGTGAGCCAGCTGCCTGTCACCTGACCCAATGATTTTGGGATTCACCAGTTCCTGTAGTCCAGTGAGTCTGTGGCTCTTAACTTCCAGTTTGGGGTTTGTGAGTCCCTGCAACAACATGAGTTAGGAGCTGCCTCTAGCCTGAGGTCTGACCCATGGATTTGCCAGCCTCCACAAGTGCATGGGTCATTTCCTTGAAATAAATCTCAAGAGAGAGAGAGTGAGTGTGTGTGTCTATGTGTCCTGGTGTACTGCTGTAGGATAAGTCCTGGATTGCTAACCACAAGGTCTGTGGTTGAAACCTACCCACCGCTCCTCGAAAACCCTATGCAGGGTTGCTATGAGTCAGAACTGACTCAATGATATATGTATATGTTGTGCTATTGTTAAGTGCTTGTCACATCAACTCCGACTCAGAGCAACCCTGTACAGCATTTCTGAGAAGCACTGGTGGGCTTGAACTGCTGACCTGTGGTTCACAGTCCAGTGCTGATCCCACAGCTGCACACCAGGAGCTATATATATATATATATCTTTCTGGGTGCTCTGAGTTCAAGGACTCAAAGCGCAGAGTCTATGTTGGAGGTCACCAACGTAAGCACACTGGTAGTGAAACAATGTTTCATTCACAAAGAGAAGGAACAGAGCAAAGTCAGCTTCATGCAGTCAGCAGGTTCCATCCCCACTGTGGGGACAGGGCTGGTGTTCTTCATGCATACTTCTTGTGCCACTGTGAGAGACCCCATTCCTTCCCTGATCGGAGCAGATATAGGAATGGGGTTGGTCAGGTTCCCTAAAATCCCCACATGAGTAAAGCAGAGAGAATGTGTACTGTAGCAGGAAGGGATGTTTCCAGCAAGGCGAGACAGAGGGAGAGGGAAAGAGACTGCCCTCCCAGACTCCATTTTCAGGGCCCAGGGCTTCTGTTTAGGCAGGTGAGGTGGGGGTTGGAAGGTTATACCATAGATTCCTTTCCTATTTCCCCAATGCAAACAGTCCACCTAGGCAAATGTCTGAGGCTGGCGTTCAGGGACTGTGGACATCTGTTTGAGAAATGTGATTTTACAAGATTTCATCAGTGAATCCCTGCTTGTTCCAGAGCAAACCAGTCCCTTCCATAGGCATTGAACTCTCCACCTGTCTGCTGAGCCTGCCAGCAGAGATGTTAATTAGTGCCAGTTATAATAGTGGAGTCTCCTCCTTTCATTTGGCAATGCGTACACCTGGTCTCTGGAAAATGGAGTGAGAACACCTCATTTTATTCAGGCCACTGAACATCTGTCAGATGGAAATGACAGTCAGGACCCAGCAGTCTGGCTCAATGTGAATCGGCTGACATACATTACCCTCTTAAATCTCTTTTAAATGAATTCTTCACTTTGCACTAAACCTGGACCTCTTTGATTGTTGGTCCCTGTACTTACAGCCCAGTGTTTTAGGAAGGTCTGAAATCTCTTCCTCTTCTGCTTTCTGTCATATTGATTTGCTAAATCTTTGTAAGAAAAAGTGGCTTCTAGGAGGAGTACCATGTCATTGCACAGCTACGGTAATGTTTCACAAAAGGGCGTCTCAAAATCTGTGTCTAACACTGGCCTTTTCTTTGAATAAGTCAGGGCTCTGCTTTAACTGGGGTGAAAAGTAAAAGATATTAATACCTTTTAAATTTTATTTTCTGCATTTGTGCCACAGCTGGAAGTCATTTGACATTATTAAACAATACTTCTAATGATATGAAATAACATGGAACAATGTGTATAAAGCAAAATGAAGTGAGAAAAAGTGAATTGAAGTAGAAAACAGTGTGTAATTATAACTGTAGAACTAAAATTTCTTGCATTGAAAAAAAAGATTACTCTGTCTTGAACGCTGTGATCTTTTAAGATCTATCTATAGGGATCAAATTGATGCAACAATTCAAAAGATTAGGTAGGAACCTTAGGGGGCAGTGAGTTTATGGTAGTGGGGGGAGAAGAGGAGGATGCAGAAACGGTTCAATTGGTGTAGGTTCGGCTGTATACATTGTCAG